GGCACAGCACGAGGCGAAACGCGGCGAGGTAGTCGGAGTCTGCCAGTCCATCGCTCGTCCACGGCACGTTAAGGTTCCGTCCCTGCCCGCCGCCGCCGCCGGTCTCGCACGCAGCACCGGTCTCGGGGTACCACCGCTCGCCTGTTCACAGCCTGCAGGTGTGAAGAGACGCTGTTCACAGCGCCGGTCTCGGGGTACCACCGCTCGCCTGTTCGCAGCCTGCAGGTGTGAAGAGACGCTGTTCACAGCGCCGGTCTCGGGGTACCACCGCTCGCCTGTTCACAGCCTGCAGGTGTGAAGAGACGCTGTTCACAGCGCCGGTCTCGGGGTACCACCGCTCGCCTGTTCACAGCCTGCAGGTGTGAAGAGACGCTGTTCACAGCGCCGGTCTCGGGGTACCACCGCTCGCCTGTTCACAGCCTGCAGGTGTGAAGAGACGCTGTTCACAGCGCCGGTCAAGGGGTACCACCGCTCGCCTGTTCACAGCCTGCAGGTGTGAAGAGACGCTGTTCACAGCGCCGGTCTCGGGGTACCACCGCTCGCCTGTTCACAGCCTGCAGGTGTGAAGAGACGCTGTTCACAGCGCCGGTCTCGGGGTACCACCGCTCGCCTGTTCACAGCCTGCAGGTGTGAAGAGACGCTGTTCACAGCGCCGGTCAAGGGGTACCACCGCTCGCCTGTTCACAGCCTGCAGGTGTGAAGAGACGCTGTTCACAGCGCCGGTCTCGGGGTACCACCGCTCGCCTGTTCACAGCCTGTAGGTGTGAAGAGACGCTGTTCACAGCGCCGGTCAAGGGGTACCACCGCTCGCCTGTTCACAGCCTGCAGGTGTGAAGAGACGCTGTTCACAGCGCCGGTCTCGGGGGACCACCGCTCGCCTGTTCACAGCCTGCAGGTGTGAAGAGACGCTGTTCACAGCGCCGGTCAAGGGGTACCACCGCTCGCCTGTTCACAGCCTGCAGGTGTGAAGAGACGCTGTTCACAGCGCCGGTCTCGGGGGACCACCGCTCGCCTGTTCACAGCCTGTAGGTGTGAAGAGACGCTGTTCACAGCGCCGGTCTCGGGGTACCACCGCTCGACCGAAGCGGTGCAGGGAGATGTAGAGGCAGCGACCTGCGTGCTGGAGACGCCGACATGAGGGCGGGGAGACGGTCTTGCGCAGTGTGTGTTCAGAGCACCGCGTGTAGACAACGGATGGGAGTACAGTGAGAACACAGCGGAACACAGCGGAACACAGCGGCGGAGGACGTGTCCTACCGAGTGCTGGGTGGGGTACATGAAGACGTAGTCGGCTTCTAGAGGCAGCGGCCCTCCTCGTAGAAGAGGCTCTGCGTGCCGTTACCTATTCACAGCAGTGGGTGTGAAGAGACGCTGTTCACACCCCTCCGGGCGGGGCTCTGCGCCCCAGAAGAGAAGAGAAGAGAAGAGAAGAGCGTGCTGCTGCTTGCGAGGCACCGACGGCAGCTATCTCCCCATATCTCCCCATATCTCCCCGTTTCCCCGATAGGTTACCGTGGTGGACATCCCAATCGAGGATGGCAACCTATTCACAGCAGTGGGTGTGAAGAGACGCTGTCAAAACTTACCGTGGCGGACATCCCAATCGAGGATGGCAACCTTCTTCGCGTCGCCGGAGGCGAGAACGACCCCTGCCGCCACCGCCACCGAGTTGTAGAAGCAGAAGCCCTCGGCGTGGTGGCCGTCGGTCGGGTCAGCGCCCGCGTGGTGCCCTGGAGGCCGCACAATGGCAAAGGCGGGCGGCGCGCGGCGTCGAGCCTTGTCGCCGGGCGATGCGCGGGTGGCGGTGGCATTCTTCGAGTCCTGCAGCACGCCCACCGCCGCGTCGATCACGCAGCCGCAGGCCAGCCGCGCGGCCGCGTCGGCGTGCCCCGAGTAGTAGACGCCTCCCGGCCCGTCAGGCTCGCACAGCTCACGGTTCGTCGGGTCGGCGCGGGCGGCGGCTGTCATGCGACCGACCTCGTCGATGTGGCGCTGCGTGTGGACGGTGCGCAGCTCCTCGTCCGACGCGCTGTGGCCCGGGAGTACTTGCACCGAGCCGAGCAGCCCGGCGCGGTCCAAGTGCTCGTAGACGTCGCTGGCGCGGGTTCGCTTTTCGACATGAGCCCACGGGTGCGTGTGGGTCGACATCTCGGGGTTGTAGTAGAGCTTGGGCTTCGCGCCGCGGGGCATGGCGCGGCACAATTTTGAGGAGCACGAGCCGTGAGAAGAACCCGCGCACGGTGGCAACAGGAGCCACAGCGACGATGCACAACAGGCCCCCGTGATTTGGCAGCGAAACCTCGAGACCGTTTCGTTAGTCCGGACGCGACCCACTTCGCCACAGACGGTCCCGCGCCTCGCCGCTATGACCGCTGCACGGCCCATACCGTCCGCTGTGCAGCGGTCTTTGTCCGGAGTGAAAAGTCCAACGCACTTTCGTCGGTGACGGTGTCCTCCAACCTGCGCCGCGCTCGGCGAACCTCGACAGCGCCTTCGGTGGCATGCATCTCTTTGCGCCTGAAGCCTGGAAAGCAGCTCCTCTGCTGCTCACACGCTCTGCACACAGATGGCACAGCCTACTATGCGGCCGCCACAGCTGTGACAGCGATGGGCTCGCCCTCACTGTCCCTCAGTCACTTGTGCTGCGGCTTGTGCGGGCTTGTGTGAAGCGCTGAGCGATACTGATTTACTGTGCTCGGCGACTCTCTGCCGGCACACTGTGAGACCATGGGTGTGAGGTAAAACCACGGTACCAGCGCTTGGCCACATTGGCCCTGAGGTCAGATCCTTCATGTCTACTCTGTTGATGACAAGACTTTTTGGCCTGTACGAGGGTTTCCTCTCGCACCCTACCTGGTTTCCTTTCCGTGTTTCCTGCTCGTTTCCCTACAACACCCTCTAGTTTCCTCGGGAAACCCCGGGGAAACTCCGTGGAATTCGTCATTTTGGGGGGGCTCTGAGCCGTGTCTGAGGCTGTTTTGGGGCCAAAATCGGCAAAATACCGGGTATTTTGCGGGTATACCTGGAAAACCCCGGTATACCTGGAAAATACCTGGGTATCGTGCCGATTTCCTCAATTTTGCCCCAGATTTTGCCCCAGACCAGCTCTCAGACTCAGGGAAACTCGCGAGTTTCCCGAGGGAAACTCGAGAGAAACAGAATGGAGCACCAAACACCCTCTGGTTTCCCTGGAAACTTCCGGAAACGCAAAGTGCTGGGGACCCTCTGGTTTCCCTCTGGGTTGCCGGAAACCCTCGTACAGGCCAAAAGACTTTCTACTCGCTGGAGCCGAGAGAGAGAGAGAGCGAAACCGCCAATGGCCGTTATCCGTTAGTGCGGACGTCGCCGCGGCTCGCCTCTGCCGCGGCGGCTGCTGCGCGCACGCGGCGGCGCCGCTCTCTCGCGAGACGGCTGGCGAAGCGGCTCGCCGACGACGTACGGTGCGCTCGTCCGACGGTCCGCAGCGTGGCGTGCGCGGCGTTGAGCGCCGCTCTGCGAGCGCCTCTGCGCCTGCACTGCCTGTC